CTGTTTATATATTTAAAGTATGTACATTCCATGTGTGATGTAGAAAAGAAATGGATAAGTGTCTATAATAGGAAGTATTTGAAATAAAAGAGAGGCGGGGCACGGTAGTGGTCTCATCAGAAAAGAACATACTGTGAAGACCATGTGAAACGGGCAGATAACTGCTGTGGATTCCAGCTCTTCCAACATTATAAAGCAGTGTCATATATGTAAAGACAGACTCACTGTGCAGCCCTGGGCGGTCAGTAACTCACTATGGATGTATGCCAGTCTGGGCTCAAACTTACAAATATATGCCTGTTTCTGCCTCACATAGGCTATGATTAAAGGCCTGTGACACCACACTTGTTGGTATAGGAAATGTTTTAAAGAACCAACGAGACAATCAAATTACCATTCCATCTCTTACACAGAAAGAGAGTACACAGGAGTACAGTGAATCATCCCAGAGCTGGTATTAGAGTTGGGGCCATCTTCAGACTTCTAGGTTCAACCTTCAATCGGTAGAAAGGTTAGGTCTAGAGAAAGGGACTGGAGGGAGAACACATGCTCTTCCCAGGAAGAGGAAACAGAATAGATTTCATGGGTGGACTGAGGGTGGGTGAGAAGAGGATCCGTGGGCAGGGGGAGGGGAGAGAGGGTTGAGAGAAAGAATGACTAGAGAGTCAGATTGAATTGAAGGGCATTTGAGGGATCATACAGAAACCTAGTGCAGTGGGAACTTCCTAAAACATAAGAAGGCGATCCTAATGAGGTCCCCTAATAATGGGGGATTCAGAGTCTCAACTGTCCATCTCTTGTCAACAAATGAGGCTTCCAAGTACTGGGACTGGGTTATATTCAATTGAGTTGTTGACCAACGACGTACCATAGAATTACCCACACAACCCAGGCGACTGCTAAGACAATGGGTTGCTCTGCACAAACTGACAGTATGGTTCCATTCCTGAGAAAAACACCCATTGAACGTGGAGAAGCAGAAGTGGGACCCACATGGAGCCAGCCTTAACACCTATGTTTGAGTGTCTCTGGGGCGGGAAGGTACTTTTCAGGGTACCAAAAGAGAAGCATAAGCACCGACCCAGTCACAAAACCTTTGACCTACAATTTTTCCTGCTCAGGGATCCCCATGGAAGAGGAAGAAGAAAGAGTGTAAAAGCTAGAGGAATGGAGGACACCAGAAGAACAAGGGCTTTTGACTCAACTGACCAAGGGTCATATGAACTCACAAGCCTGAAGCAGCAAGCTTACATGGGTCTGTACCAGGTCCTCTGTGTGTACCTTATAGCTTTCAGTTTAGTACTTTTTTGGGACTCCTGAGTATGTGAACACATGGTTCTCTGATTCTTGTGCCTTCTCTTAGAGCTAATTTCCTTCTCTTGGGTTGCCTCGTCCAGCCTCGATGTGATGGCTTTTGTCTTATTATATTTTATTTTGTCATGTTGAAAAAAAAGACCTCTGGGTTCTACTCTTAGACTCTATTTGGGTTCTATACTTGTACTTTTGTAGCTACAGAGCGGAAGATGACTGTGCAGTGGTAACAATGTAATTTGTCACAAAACAAGCGCATTTGAGATTAATGTGTGGCTCTCGAAGTACCTGAACATGACAGCTGTGTGTTCACTTAACACCCTGCTCAACAGTGGAGAGTCCCGATTCTCACTATGGACAAGATGAACTTCGTATGCTGCTAGTCTACTTATTCTTTCCAGTCTAGAGATGTCTCTCTAGCAAGATTTAACAACTCACTTGGGTTTCTAAATGTTTTAATTAATATTGATTACATACACAACACAGACTGCCAAAGAATGGGTCACCTTCTCTGTCATTTCCCCAAATACCATGGGTAGATAAAAATCTGTCAAGTATTTTTGTCTTACTTTTCTTTCTTCTGATTGTTTTTGAATCACAGTATCAGGTGGCTCATGCTGACTTCCTACTTAGTGGAAGATGACCTTGAACTTCTAAACTTCCTGCCTCTAATTCTCAAGTGCTGAGATCCCTGACAGTACCATTATAGTGGGTTTAACGAGACACTAGGGAACAAACCAAGGCCTTCTTCATTCACCATAGGTGGGAACTCTACCAACTTAGCTACTTTCCCAGCCCTCTAGCAAGTTTTTAAATGTGGTTCAAATCTGGTCATGTGATATATCCAAACCCCGTGTGACAATTCATCTCATGAACATCCAGATAGCGTATCTAAATTTACCCCTTAGTCCCAACCCCTGACCCTGCTACATCCACATTCATTCAAACCTTGATGCAGCCTCCTTCCTCATCTTGGTCGAAAAACACAGAGACAACTCCTCCTTTTAGTTTCCTGGAATGGCTGGCCTCATCCTGGTCTGAGTGGCCCTTCTAAAACCCTTCTCAGCCACAAGACTGCCAACTACTACAAACTGCTCCCCCAGCTTGCTGTTTTTCCCTTGAAGGGATTAGGACTGCACGGCCTAAGGAAAAGGCAGAGGCCACATGGGGCAAAACATCCTGTTCCTGATTATCCTTAAACATCAGAACATTCACCTTTGAGCTTCAGTGTGACTTCAATAATTCAATTACTTAACTCTCTTGGTGAGCTGTAGTCAATATGAGGCAAAGACTGTGGTGCCCTCAGAGCCAACACTATTCCTGATAGAGAATAAAAGCTCAGCAATACATCATGAGAATAAATAAATAAATAAATAAATAGATAGATAGATAAATAAATAAATAAATGTGTACAGTTGATGTGTGTGTATTACTTCCTTTTGTAACTACACAAAGAAGGCCCATTAATTTGTGAGATTTGGACTTGGCAAGGGGCATGGTGAAGATGAGGGAGGGAGGGAGGGACTGGGAGGGAATGAGGGATCGGGACACGGCTGGGATACAGAGTTAATAAAATGTAACTGATAAGAAAAAAAAATTCAAAAATAAATAAATAAATAAATGTACAGAGAAAGGGGTGGTCTTTAAAAAAAATAAAAAATAAAAATAAAAATAAAAATAAAAACCAGTAACCGTTACACTTAATGATAATGTGTATTTTTTCAACAAGTTTCTATCAGTGACTAGACTTCTTATTTTTTCTTGAAAAAATCACAAATTATCTAAAATGCAAATGCTTTATGAACCTTCTTTATGGTGAAATGGTTAATGTTCGAGGAATTCCAAGGCATCAAATGGGTGAAAATTCTGAGTTGTAAGCCATCTATGTATTGAGTCAGGGGACCTCCTATTCCTCCTATTCCTGACAGACTCCTCAACTGATGAGTCAACATGAGAGCCTGAATGGACATGTCCTAGCCTGAGGAAACTTGAATCCTTCTGGCGGTCTGGGAGGGTTCCTCTAAGTACTGTGGACCTGAACTTGAGGTCTGTTTAATTTTAATGCCAGGACCAGCATCGACATCACGCTTTTTTTTTTTCTGCATGGTTTTATGATACCAAAGCCACTGAGCGTACAGGGACTGAAGGAATGTAGCACGCCACTGTTAACTTGTTTCTTTCCGAGGCGTTTGGCTTTAGAAGTCAGCCCTCTACAAATGCTCTAAATATAACATCAGGCCTAAAATGTTCCTTTAAGAGTAAAAATATATGCAGGATAGTAAGTGTTTCTGATACCATCTCCAACTTGTACAAGTTCTCTTCAGAAGACACTAATAAACTTAAAAAAAGAGAGATGTCTGTATAAATCTTAGGGGCAAGAAGCCAGTAAAATTGAATTTCTGTCTAGTTTAATTCAACAATGGAAAAGTCAGCCATTAAAAGGAAGATAAACTTTCCTTTGTCCCTCTCTTCCTGAGAAACTTCCAAATGTTAAAAATCAATTCCTTTTGTCCTCTTGTTATTCATCTGCTACACATTAAATAGAAACCCTGGGCATTGAGTGATTCCCGCAGGGTCTTTCATCTGCAGAAAAGCCTGCTACAAATTAAATTCTTACTCTCCCTCACAAATTACAGATACATATTGTAGTAGACCATTGATTTATCAGTTCGTGCCTTTGCTAGTTCGGCTTTGTGAGACGAGCTAATTGCAGTCTTTTATCTGGAGTTATTTTGGAGTTTAAGATTGTTTGCTATATTAATTAACACGGAACAAGTCTATGCTGTTCTGATTCTGTAGGCTATATTTTTAAAAGTATTCTGCCACATTTTAGTTATTTACTTGCCAGTTCCTTGAATTGTTAGATCCTGAATGAGTGCATATGTGTGGGTGTAGATGTGAAGAAATCATTAGAGCGGATTAATACTTCATAATATTATATTAGGACCACCATGATGGTTATGATAGATGAAGTGAAAACTAAGGTGATACACAAAATCTTTTAGAAATGTTTAAATCATGCAAATATTACGCTAGCACTGGACTTCAGGGTACATTATTAAAGCAATTGAATGGTGGTCATCAAAATGACCTTGGAGAACATATGAATTTCATATTTGGAGCTGGCAGATGGCCCGACTGATAACATAGTTGCCCCACACATAAAAACCTGTGCTTGAACCCCCTAGAACCCATGTGAAACTGGACAGGAAAGTGCACACATCTGTGACCACAGTGTTCCACCCTGGAGATGGGACATGGAAACAGGAGAATCCCTAGAAGCTCAGTGTCCAACATGTGTGCAGAGGGGAAGAAGGGGTCCTGTGTGAAACAAGCACCAAGAGCTAAGTTTATCTTCTGCCTACAGTGATTTTCCGCGGTGCACAAACACCTACACGTTTACACACACACACACACACACACACACACACACACACACACACACTTTCACGTTAAGCTTCATTTACCAAATATCACAGCACCTTGGTCGGAGACCTTTCCTTCCAGGTGGTTAATGAATAAACACGCTTAGACCAGCCCTACGGAACCCGGATTCTTCCCACACTGCTCCAAGTTTGCTCCAGCTCTCTGTCTAAAGTCAGCTGCCAGCTGCATTTGTGAACTTCCAGAACCAAAACCAAGTGTTCTAGCTCTTGTTTGCGAGGAAGCTCTCCAAAAAGATGCCTTACCTCACTGGAGTCTTCCTGCTGGTTGATGACTGCCAGAGCATCCTCCGCGGCCTGCCGCTTGGCCTCGGCCACTGTGCGCTCCATCTTGGCTCGCTCTGTGGTGATCATGTCGTGGGCTTTCCTCTCTGCCTCAGACACGGCCTTCTGCAGCTCCGTCATTGCCTGTCGCTTCACCTCGTTCACAGCCTCCTCTGTGAAATCAGGCCAGACCAAGGAAAACAACATCTCTGGGTTAGCTCAGCACTCTAGGCACCAATCCTTTTGTAGCACAATTTCATACAACAAATCCGGGCTCTCATCCAAATGACTGGCCAGTTTTGCTTGTCTAAAGAACAACCTGATCTTATAAATTCATTTAGAAAGTCAAAAGTGAGATTTTTGTTTGTTTGTTTGTTTGTTTGTTTTGTTTTGCTGTGGCCTTCTTGGGAATATTTTTAATGCATATATCTTTACTTAACTTTTCTCCCACAGCGATGCCTCTAGAAATGATTATGGGGTCTGTTGAAGAGCAAGAATGTCCATAAAAAACTTGTATGGATCATTCAGACAGCCAGGACCCTGGCTTTCTAACTTGATATCATGCTGAATGTCTACAATCCCATCATTCAGCAGTTCAAAGTCAGCCTAGGTTATATAATATGACCCTTTAAATAAAAAAAATAATGAAATAAATGGTGCAGTTTTACTTTTTCTTGTCATTTCTTGAATAATAAAGATAACATGCTTCTACGGAGTAAATAATTTTTCTAAGGGACCTTGTCATTTCTAAGTTTTAAGCTGTTCTTTGTCTACTTCAAGTATTAGGCAATAGTCTGGCGCAACCAACTGTTGCACTGGACAAACAAAACTGAATCACACCACAAGCTATACCATCAGATCTGACTGAAAACCTACAAGGTAGCCAATTATCTTGTCAGTTTTTGGCTACAGTTGAGGTGAAAAGATTCAACCACGGCTCAACAGAAGATTGACAACTAAAACAAGCACTCTCCATTAAAAAAAAAAAAATTAACTGCTCTAATTAACAAGGGAAAATATCCTCCTCCTGAATTAGTTTATCTAATTTTCATCTTTATTCAAAGTAAAATCACAATGATTAATTGAAAATTTAATAAGCAGCTATTATTAACTTGGCAAACCTACTACCAATTAACACTCTATTAAAACTAATTATGACATGTTTCATTCAAGTGTTTGCACTTAATTGTTTCACCCACTTAAAAAGCACCTTAATTAAATATTCTGTTTAATTAAAAACATAGATTCCTAATACAAATGTTTTACTGTAGATTAAATTTCTTAAGTTCCTGTAGTTGATTCTGCAGTGCAAGGCCTACAGGTCCTCAGAAGACCCCTCCTGTGATTCACTGTCATGCTCTCTGCAGATTGTGTCACTTAGCACCTTTCCTCCTCAAGCATCTTCTCTGCAAAGAATGTCTGGTTAAGACTCAGACACCAACCTATAAAGGATAGACCCAGATTGGAAATACTAATTAAACTATGATAAGCTTTTGTTGCTCCTGCAAGATACACACTTAAGCTCTGGGTAGAATCAGGGTACTACCCACAGCTCATAGCACCTTCTTCGCGGAAAGGCAAAAGCTGCCTTATTACCCTATTGTGAAAGACTCAGGGCACCGGGAAAGGCCGCCCTTCTAACTGGAGAGCGAGGGTCTAATTTAGTTTGAATATTCAAGATGAATTAAAATTCTATCTAAGTGGTAATACAGGACAATAATTTTTGCTTAGGATCAAAGCCGTAGCTTGACTAATTGTATATGCAAATCAGGCAATTTATATTTAAATTATGCATTCCTATTCTAATCCCACAGGCATATACAGATCAGCAAAGAGAATTGGTAGGACATTTGCAAGGTGCTTGAATATTTATTACCAACTGCAAACATTCTCTGATCCTTTGAAAAGAAATATACTGAAGAAAACATTCAGTTATAATTTTAAAGCCACTTTCATGTTGGAGTTTTTTTTCCCCTCCAGTTTTATAAGGATGCTTTGTAACTTTTGAGTTCATGTTTTTTCTTCGCTTTTGCCTTTAAAAATGCGACTTTTAGAGAAAACTGGATCTTGCCTTCAATGTTTGTTAGCACCTGTAATCTTAAAAATATGGATCAGAATGTTGTTAAACCATCATTGCAACAACACACAGGCTTTACCTCGGGTCTTTCTCTGTGTTTGTGGAGGTGTGTATGTTTTTTGTGTATGTGTGCTCATGTGTGCGTGTGTTTGTGTGGATCTCCAGAAGAGAAGAGAAGCAGTGGGAAAGACAAAAAGTGGAGGAGGGAGAACAAGGACACCATATACAAACATGGCAAAATTCAAAATTAAAATGACAAAAAAACTGGAAAACACAATTAAAACTATTTACTTTCATAATTATAATTTCCAGGGCTGGAGAGATGGCTTATGGGCTGGGGGGGAATGACTGCTCTCCCAGAGGACCCAGGTTCAATTCCCAGTACCCACTTGGCAGCTCACAACTGTCTGTAACTTCAAGATCTGACACCCTCACACAGACATACAGGCAGGCAAAATACCAGTGCACATAAGAATAAAAATAAATTATTTATAATTATAATTTCCCGTGAGGACAATGCAATGATTATATTACATAAGTGATTAAGAGTTGTGTCCATTCAGTAATTTTCAAATGCTTTAAACTCTACTTATCTTTTGCCATGAAAATAATATATAGTACTTTCTTGGCAAAGGCATATAGGTTTCCCTTAAAAAAAAAAAAAGAAAAAGAAAGCAGTTCTGTTTGTTCATTCATTTGAGGCTTTTGTTGTTGTTTCTTCTTGGTTTGGTTTGGTTTGGTTTTATGGGTCAGGGCCTCCTCCTGAAGCATAGGGGCCTCATTCTTGCACCATCTCCATTCCTTCGTGTTCCAATTTTCAGGATCACAGATGTGAGCTATTAAGCCTAGGTCTGGCTTTTTATTTTATTTTTCTGCTTACCCAGTTAAGCTTTAGAAGCCTTTCAGAGTGTAAGAAGCTGAGCGCGGATGGCCCATTTCACCTTTGGTGTTCTCAAATACTAGACGCTGTGATACTCACAGGGAACTCTGAGCCTTCACACTCAGGCTACCCTGCATCCCGGCCACTTGCTGGGAACTCTACACCTGCTTTTCAAGAAGTCTGTCCAGGGAAATATTACGTGTACTTCATGGAGCTCTCTAAGTAAAGCTGCCATCCACACTTTCATATTTAGCTTTAATCTACAGGAAATTAGTACAAAGTGTTCCTACGTGATGAGTTGGTACCATAGTGAGAAAGAACCAGTGTCTTTTGTAACAAAACTAAACTGTATCTTAGAATGAAGACAGGATTTAGATTAAAGATACATGTAAAAATAATTCCAAACTTTCCTGGCAAGGTTCACCCCATCTTCAGCAGAGCATGGACACAACTAACTTTCTTTCTCTCTCTCTCTTACTTTATCTTTCTTTCTTTCTTTCTCTCTCTCTCTCTCTTTCTTTCTATCTTTCTCTCTTTTTTCTCTCTTTTCTTTTTTCTTTTTATTTATTTATTTTTTTGACACAGGCTTTCTCTATGTAGCCTGTTCTGTCCTAAACTCACTTTAGTGACTAGGCTGGCCTCAAACTCACAGAGATCTACCTGCCTTTGCTTCCCTAGTGCTGGGATTAAAGGTGTGTACCATCATGCTTGGCTGGATACAACTTCTAAGTCCCATGAACCTAAACTATATCAAGACTGGTTTCAGACATACACAAAACAGTGAAGAAACTATGATGGATGATTCAGCAGATTCCCATATATCAAATAAGAAAAACAAAGGAGAAGAAAAAACAGCTTTGATTAACAGGAAAATACAAAGTACACTTTTGAATTGACCTGCCATTGCTTGCTGTTCACAGGAGGAATTCCTTTATGCTTAACTATTCAAACTAACTTTCCAGAAAAGGTAGTGTATTCAGGAAAATCTTCTCTTACTTATAAGCATTCTAACAAAGATTAGCAAATAACAGCACAGGGAATTTGAGTTATACACGAGCTCACAGTCAATTTTCTTTAGGAACTATCAAGAACTTTACTTAACTACAAGTAACTAAAGGGAACAGAGAAAGACATTTTTCCCTAACACAGAGACATCCTTTTCCTGTCCAAAATGACAACCCTTTGTACCTTTTATTGGAATGGCAGGACTTGGCAACTTAAAAGTGGATTTGAAAGGAAAAAAGAACATGATGGGGAAATACAGCAACTTCTCAGGATTGGAGGACACTCGGCAGGTTAGTAACAACTTGGGAGAACCCTGAGCCTGTTAGCACAGCCAGGTACAATAGAAGAAATACGTGAGCAGCCCCATTTCAGCAACTCAGCCGGAGGAGCCATCTGCTTTGCAGAGAGGACAATCTCTCTCTTTTTGAGAGAGATTCCTAGTTCTTTTTTGTTTTGTTTTGTTTTTTTGAGACAGGGTTTCTCTGTGTAGCCCTGGCTGTCCCGGAGCTTCCTAGCTCTTAATAGGAGCTTCAAAACAGAATTCTGTCAGATCTGAGAAAACTGTTATCACCCTCACAAAAAGTGGTATTTCTTAGATATTTTATAAAACATGTGGGTCAAGGACATTTGAACAAATAGTCAGCCAAGAAAGAGAGCTACAAAAAAAAATGCTGAATTCAACCAAAACCTAACAAGAAATCTTTTGTAGAAAAACAGTAATAATAACAATAAGGACCCTTTATGGAGACTTGGTATGGCTTTCCCCAGCCCTTGCCAGTTTTATAACTCAAAGCAAAACTGCTTTAACTGGTAAAATTTCAGCAGCTCAAAGACACAGCCACAGCCTGCCTGCTCTTTGTGTCATCATTAGCTCTTGAACCAGGCTTATCATTTATCTCCTGAGTTGGATTTGTACAGGCTTCATGCTTAGCTTGCGCTCCACAGAGAGTCTGCCAGCTCATCCAAATACTGTGTCAGTGGGTCTTGGGGAGCTCACACCCGCTTCTGAATGCACAGCCACAGACAGTCATGGGGGTGAATGAATGGTGCATGTGGAAATCAAAGTCCCAGCGCTCTGTTCCTCAACTTAAAAAGTAACTTAGCACCATGATTTAATAGTAAACACCACATTGCTACATCTGCTCAGCAGGTTATACCTGAACTCTTCAAAGTAGAAACATGCAAAGCCAAGGTTTTAGAGAGGAAGTTCTGAAAGACCAGAAGATTACAATCCAGGGTACTATGGCTAGGAGGACATTAAAAGCGGCTGAAGCAAAAGAAAAGACAATAAAGAGCAAAAGAATGGGAGCTAAGCAACATTGTGTTTCATTCTTTTTTTCCATTTAATGGTGGCATATACCCAGGCAGGCCTTGGAATCTTCATCCTCTTCCCTCCACTTACAGATTAATGAAGTCACTGACAGCTACCTCCAAGCCCAGCTTGTGACAAACTATCTGTGTGTCCCTATTCCTCATGGCTCCTAATCTCTATTGGCTGCTTGCCCATAAAAGCCTCCAGGAGATGAACAAAGGCCCCTGTCCTGTCTAAAAGTCCCTAGAATCTGCAGAATAGATGTCCAGTTGTATTCCCTTGTGTCTGTAAAATCAGGTAGCAATAAAAAATTTTGTGCCAAAAAATACTAAACAACACAAAAGAGTAATTTTAATACTAGACTATAACTAAAAAGTAATAATCCTTCTGAAGTTCCTTAACAAGTCAACTAGAGTAGGTACAACTTCAGAATGCAAAGAAAAATGCTGATGCATGTAATTTAATTCCTAAAACACTGGATTTCTTTCCTCATCAAAGAAAAACTGCATGCAAGCTAAAGACCTCCTGTGCCAAAATTGCACTCTGAAACCATTACAGATGCTACAAATAAGAGGGGAGGGGGTTATAAGGGAAATATTGCCAGCCTTTCAATTATAATGGCACTAGCAGATGCTATGAGAATAAAAACTATTTCATGTTTTAATCAGGTCTAGTTTAAGAATATTAATGAGAGGTTTTTTTTATTAGTTTGTTTTGTGGTTTTTACTTTGTTTTGCTTTGCTTTTGCTATTGTTGCTGTTTGCAGGAAGGTCCTTTCTTGTCATTCCTCACATCACAGCATTAACAACTGCACACAGCTGCCAGAACACTAAACTCGTGTTTTTAAACAATTCTTACCAGCTTTCTTCCAGATCTCCTCTGGCACATATCCAGACGCAGGCCTGTGAAGGAATTCCCGATGTGCATCTATGAAAATGATGGGAGAGGGTGGAGAGAAGGGGAGAGTACCATCAGCATTGCCACATCCTTATGCAGAGCCAAGCAAGCAACTCCTCCTCTTGGCTTCACTACAAAAATGCAATTTTAAAAGGTTGAATGTTTCAATTTAAGAAAATGCACAAAAATAGCAAAGCTAGTCATCAGGGCCCAAGGAAAGCAGAAGGTCACTGGTCCAAATTGCTCATACATTCAAGTCCAAAGCAACTTTACTTCATCATACAGTATGATATCTGGGAATAGGCTTCCCAGATCTTTCACTTTGTGTTTTTAAGGAGGTTATAGTTGGTGCCTTTCCTTTCAAAAAAAAAAAAAAAATCAATCATATGGTAATATAATGTACAGAGAGCTCTGATTCTATAAAAACAAACAACTAGTGAGTCCTACTCTAGAGCTAACCAGTTCTCACACCTAATACTTTCTTTAGCATCCTATTGTGCTTAAGCACTTTCTCATACATTGTGTCGTGTGAATCTGACAAAGATGGAGGCCAGGGAATATTAGAAAGGACCTGTGGACATTCAGTTCATCAGTCAGAATTTGGTTTATGTTTTGTCCAGAAAATGAAGTGAAGCTCTATTTTAAATGCTGTTTATTGTGTCTTCAGAGTTTAAAACTTTGAAAAAATAATAAAGTTGACACAGGAATGCTAGTTTTCAAACAACATGGTCACACCAAAACTACAAACATTTAACACTCTTATATGCCTTGAAAACAAAGTTTGCTACGGTCCTCCCTAGCTAAAATATTAATGTGCAAGACAAGTCTTCTATACTGCATTTTCAATGCAAACCTATGTATTCAAGGTCTACTTATTCCTTCCAAGTGATAGAATTAGAGACAAGTACTACCACATCAGACAACAGACCTCAGAAGGACTGAGGAAGAGAATAATCAAGTGAACTTTTAAAAACTACAAAAATCAATGCATGGTAAATGTCAGGTGATATATATATATATACATATATATACATATATATATGTATATATATATACATATATACACACACACATACTATCAAGAGCAAACTGTTGTTTTAAAGAATACATTATTATATAAGTTGTGTTTAAGACAAGAAAAATTTTGTCCAGTTGCCTACAGTTTATGCAGCTACAGAATATTAAAGAGAAGAAAAATGGCAGTCACTTTAGCTAAGTCATTAGATGTGAATGCTCTAAATATATGCAAATCTTTGCATGGTACATAGATTATCGGTGAGCCAGAATACTAATTTCCCTAGCTAACTTTAATAAATCCTAGCAAAATTAAAAAAGAAAAAAGAAATTGGTGAGGAAATATATAGATAGCTTCTGCTCTATCTTTGCAATTTTTCTCTAAGTATTATTTTAATTATAAAAGATTTATTTTTTACAGGTTTATATTATAATTTTATAACTATTTGATAGTTACTACATTATATATATATATATATATATATATATATAATCAACACTAATATAGTTATATGATAATAGGTACTATCCCCATGAGTTTTTATTGGAATGTTCACTTTGTAAAGCAACAACAGCAAGAGGCCTGAACTGTTTTTTTGTTTTCCCAGAAAGCTGGATAGCACCATTTGTTGAGTGTGTGACTGAAAGGATGTATGGCGCCGCTTCATTATTCAAGCTCGCCCTCCATACAGCCGTAACTGTTTCCACAGGAGACGGAATGTGGGTAAATTCACATGTAGTAGAGGATACTAACTTTTTCACAGGAGAAAACGCTTTCACTAACGTGTAATTAGTTGGATGACAACAGATCTGTAAAGTCTACAGCCAAAATCGAACACTGATTCCTGCAAGTAGCCAAGGGTGGGTTCCTTTTGTTTCTGTTCAATGGTTTACCCAACTGTCTTTTGGTAAGTAAGTGAGTATTATTATAAGGAACAGGAAGGGTGACATAAAAGATGATCGTTACTAATTGCAGGTAGCACAAAGGAAAGAGAAACAGTGGAAATAAATCTTGAGTTCTCACTACTACTCACTCAGGGGTATTAGGCTAGTTAATTTCTCTATGTATGAGCTGTCTCACCTGTAAACTGAGACAACACAGCTATTCTCTGAGGCAAAGGAGGGATTACTATCAGTGCATAGCTTTATTATCATCACCAGAGAGGGAAAACATACATACATATATATATATATATATATATATATATATATACATACATATATATATATATATTCCTTATAAATAACTAGGATGAAGAAAGCACCATAGAGATTGTTTCCCTCAGTACTTAGCCAAATAGCATACAACTTTAAAGAACGCAGAAGCTCTGAAGAAGTTTGCAGTATGCAAATACACTTCAAAATATTTAACTGTAGGAATACTGTATAATGTGTTGGATTGAAATTCTTCCTACAGTTATAAATTCATTGTCTTTATACTTGGAAGCAGAGATTTAAAATTCACTAACAAACTTTCCATGAATGTTACTTAAACCCTGTAAATATTTATGGCCTCAATTTCACTCAAATATCAATGTTTAAGGCTCAGTCAACCTTTTACCTTCAGTGTGTTGTATAGTAGGTATCTTGCTATACCACACTGGGAAACTATGCTGCATCGTACTTTGGCTACATCTCTCTAAATGACACACTGTGATATCCACATAGCTCCAACTACTACCCAATAAATTAAAGCCAATTGTGAAAAACAATTTTCATAATCCTAATTTCTAAAAGAGTTGTTTTTCAAAGGAGTCAAACCTAAACACACACACACACACACACACACACACACACACACACACACACACGTGAAATTTTCAGCATTCCTTCCACTTCTAAGTCATGGTACTTTTTCTGAACACTGGGTCTAACAATGGGAAGAACAGAACCATCTAAAGGATAATCATCAGAATCCATTTGCTTTCATGCTAATATTAAAGCTATTATTGGACAGGCTTCAGAAACTACAGAATTAATACATTTAATGTATCTTTTGATTAAGTAGCTGCAATTTCAAATTAAGTATCTTCTTGTCTTCTAGTTAAGTAGCAATGTCTGATTATGTAGTAGAAATAATGTAGGCAAAAGGAGCATACAAGACAAATGTATAACTAAATAGATAAATAAACAAAAAAAATTTAAAAAAGAAAAATTTAAAAAAAACCTGAAGTTGATGAATAGGGCTTAACTGTTTTAAAATACTGCCTAACCTAGAGAAGAAAATTCTAAGATTCTAAAGTACCTTCTAAAGAAGCTTGTTTGTAACTACTAACTTCTTTTGTAAACTGCCTTTAAAAATGGCAGTTTCTATAAAAATGGATAGTCTTCTAACACAACAGTAGAAACAGACAGGACCATCTACCAAGACTGAATTTCAAAGTAAAACATTTACACAATGTGATTACTGATAGATGAGAGCAAGCCTTCTAAATTAAGTTTGCTTGTTTTGAAGTATAAATTGCCTGAGGGTAAGAGGAGCATGAGGCGGCAACCACCAGAAGACAACAGACACCTACAAAAGAGGAGGAGCCACATCAGAGTGAAGGGAAATGTTAGGAGAAATGTGACAGAAAAGCAGCGGTTGATGATGTTCGAAGGAGGCGGAAGATGCGCTACACTTACGACAGAATGGAGACCATTGGGTACTAGATACAGCAAGGGCCGCCATCAATATACATGAAGGGATGAGCTGAGAGCCTTTGGAGAACCAATGTGACCTCATGTGACCCAGGACAGCAATGCTCAAAGCTTGGCGGCACCTAGGCATGGCCTTCACCCTGTAGTGGGCAGAATGAGGCTGGAGTCACGATCATATCTATTACAAGATCATTGAAGAGAGAAAAGGTTAAGTGACTTCATCCACGCAAATGCCACTTTTGTTTTTAGGTTATTTTTTTTAAAGAGTGATAAATTCAGAAAGCTCAAAGCTATTTTTGAGCCTCCACACAGCCTCAAAACTAGCCACTGCTTTCCAATACCTGTCTTTATTCATGGGCATACTTCGGGCTCTAGGAAGAACCATCTCCTTACTTGAAAAGATAAGACATATTTAGTTTGCACTGCTTTAAGTATAATATCATTAAACAAAGAAGACCTTTTAGAACATGCATTATGGACCTAGCTGTGTGGCCATGAGATGAACTTTATTATGATGTGATTACAAAGAATCAGTATAAGTGTCTAAGAGTCAGTTTTACACACAGCTCTGTTCTGCACAGCTTGTTTATGGTTTTTATGTTCTGACAGTAGGGAAGTTGAACAATGTTTCTTTTGGTTGAGAGAAAACTATTTTCTTATAGTCATGGGTTATGAATTAAATACAGCATTATATTTACAGCAAAATTCCTTTTTAAATTTCTCTGCAATAAAAAACATGCTTGGAAATATTTTGTTGCTGAAAAAAGTATCTATGAATCCACTCTCATGTTACAAACTTGTATATCGAGCCAAAATGAAAAAATAAAAGAGAGAGAGAGAGAAAAAAAACCAACCAAATTTACCAACTGCATTTAGTACTATTCTTTTAAAGTCTCCTAAGATCGCCATACTATTAACATTTATATCATATCTACTGTTTGTCAAACACCTTTTGATGCCTCTTTAGTACTGGTAGAACTGCCCAATAAGTGCATTCTTACTGTCTTCATTTGTAGATGAGGAAACTGAGGCACAGTGAGATGTGTGGCATGACAGAACCCACAGTGTAAAGAAAACCAAGAACTCAGATCCAGAATTAACTGAGAATCTGCACGTTATATACGGTCTGGACCAGATGCCCAGGAGAATCCTAGTAATTCAGTGTTGCTATGATCAGACCACCTGCCAACTGAGTGACTTTAAAGTATCAGCTCCTCTGTCATTGCAAAAAGATCAGAAGGAAGGAGAGGGGGACCTCCCCTATCAGTGGACTTGGGGAGGGGCATGTGTGAAGAAGGGGGAGGGAGGGATCGGGAGGGGAGGAGGGAGGAGCTTATGGGGGGCTACAAAGTGAATAAAGTGTAAAAGAAAATAATAATAATAAAAAAATAAAAAATTCTTAAATGGTTCACCTTTAAGATGAAAGAACAGCTTCATTTTCCCTCACACTTAAATCAACCAAAAACTCTTACCAGAACAAACACAGAGGCACTTTCTACACCTCTGCCATACATACCATCTCAATATGCTTTCCATAACCACAGGGAATTCCATCAAACACTCAGGGCTCTCTTAGTTCCCGATGCTAGCCTTAAGCCCGATAACTTAAATTAATTTTCTTCTTAAATTTTTTTATTTTAATCATTATTATTTATGACAATTTATTCACTTTGTATCCCAGCTGTGGCCCCCTCCCTTGTCTCTTCCCATTTCTCCCCCCTATGCCCCTCCCCTAGTCAACTGATAGGGGAGGACCTCCTACCCTTCTATCTGACCCTAGCCTATTAGGTCTCACCAGGACTGGCTGCATAGTCTTCCTCTGTGGAGTGGTAAGGCTGCAACCCCCAGGGGATGTGGTCAGAGAGCCTGCCACTGGGTTCATGTCAAGAGACAGCCCCTGCTCAAATTTGATAACTTCTAAAAAAAAATCTTTTCTCATAATTTTTGAAATGTTCTTAGAAACAACAGAGGCATGCAGTGCACTGCAGAAAGATTCTAGAATACTCCCCAGCACTTAAAAAAGGGAAGTAATTTAAAATAAAACAAAAATGTTAGGCCTCAGAAGAGTTAATACAAACACACTTCAAGGGACCCAGGGAAGGAGTGCCAGGGACCCAAACACTCAGGGAACACAAGGGCCAGCTGGCGAGTTCTGTGCCAGTGACTAAACCTGCCAAGTCTCATCCTACTACCCTCAGCCAAGCACACTCGATAACAAAACAGAAAAGAATAAGGGTCATACTAGAAAAGGAAAGACAATGGTGTGAAGAGTAGCTGTCTAAGGTTGTTAGCCGTCAAATTAGAGTTTTTCCTGGACAGCAAATGGGGAATAATAAAAATCAGAAGTATCTTTTTATTTTTCAAATGAAAAATCTTGTTTTGAAAAGTCTTTCAAGGCAGGAGTGGTGCACATGCCTGTAATCCCAGCATTTTAGAGAAGAGCCAGGAGGGGCAGAAGCTCAAGATCATCCTCAGCTGCACAGCAAATTGAAAGCCAGGCTGAGTTACATGAAAAAACAAAAAAAGTTCTTTAAGATATCAACTTGCATTTTATTTAAAGAATGAAGACAACATGATGAGATCAGTATGTTCTTGGTGTTTAAAATTCTGAAGATATTCACAACAGAGTGTCTGTTTCATATCTGGAGAAAACTTCTAAAATTCAATTAGTGATAGATTAATCACATTATTTTTCTATTCCCCCCAGTGGACTTAATCCTTTGGATACATTTCAAAAGTGATTCTGGGATTGAGTCATACAAACATAGCACATCAGTCTTAGAAGCTACATTCCCCTACAGGCAGTCCCTGAATAGCATTTTAAAATGCTAAGAATGTGTGTATGGCTAAACATCCCCACTATTTCCAAGTTAGGGATGGGAGGAGAGCTGGATTAGAGCCAAACATACCTTTTGTAATATATTCTGAAGGTCTCATTTGAGCCAACTATTTCAAACTTTAGAAAATAAACAATTTCCATCATAATGATACCTACATGTATATAAAATACAGACCTATCATAGCTTCCTCTGCCCACAGGAACCTCATTAAACACTTTCCAGGAATAGAAAATGGATTTATTTGCCAATAATTCATCATCTTTTTACTGCACTCATTCATACCTTCAATTCTAAATCCTGGAAGGCAGAAGGCAGTTTATGTAAATAATAGCAGTCTCTGATTATAAGCTACCTGTCCTCTCAGTCAATGGCTTCACAAATCAAGTAGCAAATACACAAGAAAAAAATAACCACTAGATGCTAGAACCTGGAAACTGCGTAACTCTTAACAATTGTGATAGTTTCTTAGTAGTAGGCAGCCTAAAGTTCTGTGTTCAGAAATCACATGATTCTTTTGACAGTCTGAACAATGAAATGCAAATGTCATGTAGCCTCTGAAGAGTATAAACTATTAAAAAAAAAAAAGCTTAAGGCCAAAACAGCATCTTAGCGTTATAAAAAATATGAATTTAACAAGGATCACTAAAAGCTGGAATTTGTGTACACCTATGGAACAGGTTATTGTGTAGGCAAAGTTTATTATTTTGGTTTTGTATCAGAGAGCAGAGGCTGCTCTTCTGGGCAATGTGACCATCCATCAGCAGGGGTCAAACTCCATGCATTGACCTATGCCAATGGGTAAGTAACATTTTGCTTCTGTATGAAGTCCAGTGAGGTTCTAAAACTTCTTCAGCACTGTAAAGCAGATACCAGTCAGGGCCATCAGGTGGGCCTTTGCCTATCTCTTCCTCAAGGCCAGAATGAAGAATCTTCCTTACAGTACCGCAGACATGATACTCACACGAAGTTGAGGGGCTGACTCAATGAATGTGTACCACAGAGCCAGCCCACATTATATGGTTCCATTCCCAAAGGCTTCTTTTTTTTAGCGCTCTCAATTTTTTTCCTACTTCAATGGCTACAAATATCCCCTTTTGTTTCTCCTTAGCAAATCTGTCACATTAACCAATTTTTGTTCACAGTAAGAAAATAAAAACAAGATGCTTATTGTCCTTAGCTCCACATAGCTTTGTTTAGACCAGTACCAGTCCAAATCAGACTTAATTCTGTTTTCATTATGTGCCTTAATGCAACCTAACAAATAATACTATTTGCCCGTAAACTCTGCAGAATAATGCCTGTTGGGTAAATTACATGGCTAGGAGTCCTTCTTTATTTAATATTTATCATGGCAATGAGCATTCATCCTTCAAAGGTTTGCAGAAATCCATAAATCTTAAGTGCAAAGGAAACTGTACTGGCTACAATAATTTTAGTTTTAAAAATGATAATATGAATCAATAGTCAGATAAATATGTCTCAGATTTTTTATTTTGAATCACCAGTTATTGTGTCAATGATTCTAAGTTACAGGCTTATTCTGCATGTGGGCTATTTATTTTTCAGCAAAGACTGTATTCAAAACTGAGTTAGCTGGTGAGTATGAACTAAACACATAAGAGAAGAGGAGAGAAGAGATCCATCAAAGTCCATCTCACCACTACGTTTACGCAAATAGTGCATACACATAATGGCAAGCAAAGCAAACTATAAAACATATTATTCAAGTTCTCAGGCCACTTGAAATTCTTTCAGGTTGAATTTACTGTTTAGTGTCTTTGGGATTATATTCTATTTTTGATCTTGACAATCTACAAATACCAACACTAAATATAGTTCCATACAGTCATAACACAGTCCCATCATAAAACTAGAAGTAGTAAAATCAAAAATAAACACTACACATGAAGATAAATAATAAAAGTGCTACATCAGTTTTCATTAATTTTCACGTGGCCTAACCATACTGTATAGCATTCTTGTCTCCCATCCAGAGGGACTTTGGGGTAAGTTGGCTTCTGTTTGTTTGATGAGACATAGCAACAGGATAGGACTGTCTTCCAAACTAGATCTTAATTAAAACTTAGAAAAGATGCTGAAGAGATAGCCCAGCAGTTAGAGCACTTCTAGAGAATCTGAGTTTAACACAAGTCAGGCAGCTTGCAACCATTACTAATTCCATTTCCAGAGGAACCAACACCTGCTTCTGCCTCCACTGTGCTCTCTCTCATACACACACTCACAAAATTGCAAACGTATATTATTTTAAAGAGACCTCTAGAAACCTTGTTAAAAAAATATTGGCACCTCAGGCCCAGGGCCGTGTTATGCGTTGACAGGTTTGGGTCAGGATGCTAGCAGCTACCTAACGAGGGCACATTCTGCTTCAGCCATGAAGCTCTGCCAGGAGCTCAGTGAACTCTCCTGAAACTGTTTTGAGTTTTACCACCATGTCTCAACATACCACTCTGTGTACCTTCCTTGACAACAAGGACCTAGAAAGCCTTTGCTGTCCTGAAATTAATTCCCTCAGCAACCCTCCATGTTTTCAGAAACACACGTTTAAAAAAATAGTCATTATGAATAGAATATGAAATAGGTGTTCAAGGTGCTCAACGAACAAAAAAAGAAGCGTACCTAATGCCACTGGGTCTGGGTTGACAGGGCTCTGCTGCCTGGAGTGGCTGCTGCTACTGCTGCCGCCCTTTTTCAAGTCCTCAGCATCGCTGTACCGCCGGATCCAGTAATTCAGCTCCTCCCGGTCTGCTTCCTGACACCGTCTTAGGACAGTGAGGGATCGTCTCGTCTTTTCTACCATGTCCATTATGCAGTTTAGCAGCTATGTAAGGAACGGGGAAGAGGAGGAAGGGCAAGAAGATTAGACAAATCACTACAAATTTTAAAAACTTGATGAGTAATAAAACACAAGTTCCAGGCCACTGAAACATAACATTTTCTTCTTTAGTATAAGACTTTTGATCAAAGTATTTGAAACTCAGAACTAATAATTCATCAAATTCAACAGAAATGAGAAGGGGAAAAAAAAAAAAAACCAGGAGGAATGGATGGAGTCATGACAGATAGACTTGCCTAACAGACTCAGTAAATCTTTCTTTCTACATATAAAGCCCATTAAGTTACAAACTAAGTCACCCTTTCACAGCAGCCTACTCATCTGCACTCCTTCCAAGAGCTAATGGTTCTCCTAAGCAGCCTTCACATATATTTAGAAGTTAAATCCTATGGTCTACGTCAAATACTCACAGTGACTACATAAAATATTCACCCCTCACAACAGGAAATAAGATGCCATCAAAGCACTCTCAAAACCTCACTTGTTTGTCAAACATTTTTAGCCCAAAAGATAACTATATCTTACATGATCGAGATGTTTCCATTCTTCTGCCCATTCTCTATCTGTTAGTCTGTGGTCAATCATTTCTTCTTGACGTGTGCCATGTAACCCTACAAATGTAGAGAAGAAGGCTTAATCCCCTAAAGCCTCCAGCACACAGTCCATCCGCAATCAGCACAGAGCAATAACTACAGGATGTCAGTGATTAATGACTTTGGGAGGAGACCTCAGCATTTCTGAAATGTAAAGAACAAGAAATCTGGGTCCTGGTTTCTTAGTGTCCTAAGTAACAAGGAAGGTTGGTGTTCGAGACTGGATTTAATCTGGTGAAGCCCTGGGTTCAAATACCAGTGATCAATTAATCAATACAATACAGTGCAATACCAAACATGGTTATAATACATCAAAAATAAAAAGAGTGTAACTTACTTTACATGGTTTTGCAAAAGATGCATGGTAAAAATTTTACATTTCAGCACAACTGTAAATTAATACAATCTTACTATACATATCTAACTAGGCCCATGAACAAAAGCTTGGATAATCTGAAAGCTATCCATGATCTCTCAACAGAATATAAAAAGTGAGAAGAAATGAGAACTCCTTAGTTTTCTTTTTAGCTGTTTTGTTTAATTTGTTTTGTTTGTTTGTTTGTTTTTAAAGACAAGGTCTCACAGTGAATGAAGAACTGACTGACCTAGAACTCACTTTGAAGCCTAGGCTGTCCTCAAATTCTCAGTCTTTATGCTTCAGTCTACAGTGTTGAGAACTTAGGCATGAACCACCTTACAAATCACCACAGCGTAATCTTTATAAGAAAAAGTTTACATGCCAATAAGAAAATAATAAATTTTCAAGATCAGAAACTAAAAATTCGAGCTCAAAGATCATGTGTATAAAGCCTCTTTTATATCAATGCTGCTATGAAAAAGTAGCCTAGTCTGTGAAGACGGCTCACTCAGTGAAATACTTGCTACGAAAATGAGAGAACCTAAGTTTGGATCTTCAGTGCCCATATAACAAAACAAAACAAAACAAACAAACAAAAAAAACCCCAAAAAACAGCACATTCTTTGAATCCCACTTCCTGGGGCGGTAGAAACAGTAGGATTCCTAGAGCCCACTGGCCAGACAGTCTAGGTGAATCAGTGACCTCTAGGTTCAGTGAGAAAGTGTTTGTCATAAAATAAGTAAAACATGGAATGAGAAAGATGTCTCTATACCCTACATCCATGGGTATACACAAATATAAGTCAGCATGGAAACACTTACCAAGTGAACATCAATTTTGTTTTCCCTAAAACATGGTCTCACTCCACTCCAGGCTGGCCTATAACTCATGGCCAACCCACCTGACTCGGCCCATTAAATGTGAAATAACAGATGTGAACTGTTCCCGGCTCACCACCAACATTCATGACTGTGAAAAGTCAGCAAAGACGCTCCACAAGAACACAGAAAAGTCCCTGTGTCTCACTGAAAGGGCAGAAGGGTCTGATGAGGGGGCATCTTACAGAATCACTGTGGACAAAGACCTTTATGTTCTTTCAGAGAAAGGCAATTAGTCTATGACATCATCTTCCACTGTAAATGGCTGAATCCTTGCCCTTGGTTTCCATTCCTCACAGTGTTACTCTAACAGAAAACCTGGGCTGGAAAATCTGCGGTTTTCAGACATGAAGGACCCTTCTTGGAGGGTCTAAGAAGTGAATTAACCAGACTTAGAAGACACTGTGTTCCACTTACTGTGAAAAGTAAGTGGTTTGAGATCTTTCTCTGAGCTGACTTAGAGGAGGAAAAAACAGATGAGTCACAAGGCGGTTTTCATTCACGAATATATGTGTCTATGACTGATTGGATTAAATAAATCCCTGACAGTTCTTTCCTAGGCTAAAAAAAAAAAAAAAGGCTAACTGTAAAATGTTTTGCATTATTTTTGTCCAATTAGAAAATATTCAGTTACATTTTAAAAGTTAAAATTGTCAATGCCACCTATTGGTAAAAAAGGAAAACTGCAAAGATGTTTTACTGATTTGCATAAGAGAAAAGACTCCAAGGGAAAGTAATATTTAGTTATTGCTCTGTTTGTTGTGATTATTTCAAGTTGAAATGTTTGCAAATATGTAATTTTTGTTGACTTATTTGTTGCCTGTTTTTTTAAGGGAAAAAAAGCACTAACGTTAAAATTAGTCATCATAGAGAAACAACTAGAGAGTGATAAGAATATAAATGTGACAGGGACACTCATGACCGTGGCATCTAGATATTTGCCTATAAGAATCAAGAACTAGAGAAGTCACCAATATGTCAAGCATATGAAATCAATTCTGATACACATGCTAAACACCCAGGAAAATTAATGAGTAATAGAATGTCTGTATTTAATGGGAGTCCAACATTGGTGAAACAATGCTACGGGTCATCTCAGTATAATAATTGCTATTATTAGTAAATAATATTATTAATTATTATTAAGTAACATGTTTGATCCTCAGTATTTGGTGAAGAAATACAGGCCTGGTTCAATGCATTTGAAGTCTGGGGCTCGTGCCTAGGTCTAATTTCACACATTTATATTCTCAGCCCCACATGATTTTGAACATACTGATACCACAGAAGACACCACAGAAGAAAACAAAGGGGGAAAACAGGCGTGATGAACAAAGAACACACTTCCCATTCATGAGATACTAGGCACTAATGTTGAGGCTTAAGTTGTTCTTAGTTTCAGAAGATTCTAGACAAATGGGACCAAATGTTAAGCTCATTGATAAACTAATGCTGCTTCCAAAGTTACTTCACTCGAGGATTCTAATGAGTACATGTGCCTCTACGTAAGAGGCATTTATACACTGTACCTTTATGGTGATTTTTATACTCTCAAAATGGCAACTTGATGTAACACCACAACTTGTTTTTCATACATCAAGATTTTATTTTACATTAACAAACACTGGCAAAGTAGTTGCACACTTTTATAGAGATTAACACTATTTTATAAAAGAGTGTAATTAAAAGGTGAGAGACATGGTCAGGAGAAAATTGGACAAAACTAGTGATTGTGACATAATTCATATGGGGACATTTCACTTTAGTACATAAAAACATAATCAGTGCACATAAAAGCTTACTTACTTCCGTGCTGATTACCCTATGGCTGGCTCATAGTAACTAATACTTTTCCAAATACTAGTTGTGGACTAAGAAAGAGGGCATTTCTATGCCCCAAACTGAAAATCACTTGAGCCAGTTTCACAGTGGCCAGGCTACTCCACTGCTGTTTAAAATCTAGAAGTTACAGCTGGGCGTGGTGGTGCACACCTATAATCCTAGAACTTGGGAGGGCCAAAGGCAGGTGGATCTCTGTGGTGTTGAGGCCAGTCTGGTCTACATTGTTAGTTCCAGACCAGCTGGAATTATTAGAGAGAGCCTACCTCAAAATAAAAATAAAAACGAGCAATTAACAGTGTTCAGGCCTTGAGTCATAAATGAAGAGTGAAGCTTTTGTAAAGAAGGGGGTTGTTGCCATATCTGATGTGTGGCTCAAAGTGTCTGTGCAGACTGGGAAGTAACACAGCCACTTCTGAACCTCTTTAGAAAGACTACCTGCCTGAACATTAGACAGACTGGCTACGAAGAAAGCACAAATGATATGCTCACCATTTATCTGACACACCATATAAATACAGAAATCACTCATGTGGGAGCCAGAAGTGCTAATCAACCATCTCCAAAAACCAAAGCCTCAGTCATCTCTCCTCCCACTCTAACTTTCCCTTGCCACTTTATAAACATGCTGAAAGCTACTCGAAGACAGGCTACAAGCCCTAAGTAGGGAACTCCTGCTTCTTAGTAATCTAGTTGGAAGTTTCACTTCCTTTCCTGCCTGTCAGGCATCTGCCTGTGAAGGAAACAAAAGCTACTGTCACTGTTATTCAGGAAGCTGGCGGGTGGGAGACTGTGTTTCCCAGAGTTCTGCATCCTAGGCTCTGCTGTTTTCTACCCAGGCTTTATCCCTGCTATGATGCCCACCAAATTCCAAGTTCCCCACGTTTGGCAAGTTTGCTAACAACTAGTTTTTCGATAAAGGAACACCTGTGGTTGTGTGATTTCCAGGAAGAGCAGTAAGTTACTGCTGCTAGCTGGACTCAGCGAAAATTAGGAACGAGGTGCCCCCAAGAGCAGCACACTTACCAACATTTGATGATAGCACCTCAACCTGCCTCATTCATCCTGCCTCTGACGTTTCTGTGGTTGACACTTGTTCTTCACAGGGTAATGTCTTCTAAAAACCTCACTACCAGTAATTTGTGATACAACGATGTGGCCACAGGCAAATAGAATATGTTTTTCCAAAGCTACTCCTTCCATATTCTGATATTTGATATAAAATTGACACTAACTCTTATCCCTAGTACTTTTGAACAATGTACCAACGTATTCCTAAGGAACTCCTGGTAAGTTAGGGCACAGACAACAAGCCATGCAATGCTCTGGGAATATGAAATAGTAGGAAGACAGGAAATGTCAAAATCAACTTTGATACAAAATTTCAGTGAAAAATAAATAAATTAAAAAAATATTGGTGGCAGGATTACATATGAAACCTCATATTTAAAAAAATAAGAGTTCAAGGAAACTCCATCTGGCCTTTGCACCTAGAATTGATAGTTTTATATTATATTTTATCCTTCTCTGTTCTCTTAAAGCATGCATGTGATGACTCAGGATATTGCTCCATGCCTAGAATCCCAACACTCGGGAGGCAGAGTTTGAGGCCAGCCTGGTTTATACAATGAGACACTGTTTCAAAGTTAATTAATTAGTTCATTGAATACAAGTGATTAAAGAAGAGACCCAGCATATTAATAGAGTTTCTCAAAGGAGACAACAGAAAGAGAGGTGTTTATTTCTATCAGATTACGTGTTCAAATTCAGTTGAGAAGGAATGGCACAAATCTTCAAACATGCAATCCCCAAATAGAAAACAGATCCTTCAGTCTTACCCATAGGTCTATTTCTGTCCCTGAGGTCCCTGTGGCTGGGGTGCCGGTAGGAGTCCCTGTAGTGGTGAGCAATGGCCATGTCATCCAAACGGTAATGCTGAGGTGGAGGGGGGGTGGGGTGAGGCAGGCCATTTGGCTGGTAGGATAAGCCATTATTTGGACTGTATCGCTGGCCTGGGCTAATAGTGCATGGTCGCTTGCTTGGATGTTCTGAGTGCAAAGGCTCTCTGTCGAAGCCATTTTCTTTGGTTCTGAGGAGGGAAGAAAGAGAGTTTTGTTTCATAAAGTATGCAACATAGTCCAGACACTCCAACTTGAGCTAGCAATATCCAAGAGAACGTTTCTTCACTGGCCAGTAACGTACAAGTTAATGCTTCCAAGAAACTCTATACATGCTCAGCCTGAAAGGATCACATGTCAAGAGCAGGAAATGTCACACTTGTCATTCATCTAGCCAACCCCGTTGCAGCTATGGTTCACGTGACTAAGTCACAAATAAGAGGAGACCCAGTCTCCCTCTACAGGTGATGTGTTCATATAAAAAGCTCCTTGGCCTCTAACTAGGACACCCTAGTATCTGCTTTGCTGCAAAGCTGGTTCACACCGATAATCCCAGCCCTTGAAACGATAAGGCAGGAGGATATGCACCCCAGCCTGGGTGCATACTGAAACCCTGCCTCAAGAAATTCAGAGAACAGACCTCACCTGGCATCTGACTTTTGTCCCCAAGAACACATGAGTGCTATTTCATTGGAAATGGCAGTCTTAAAATGTAAATTAATTCAAATTAAATAAAGTTCAAAACTCAACTTTTCAGTAGCCACATGTCAGGTTCTCAATGGCCACCAGTGATTGTAAGTCACAAAACTTGATCTCAAAGATACAAAGTGTTTCCATATTCTACTTGCATGCAATGATCCATCTGAACTCATACAGTGAATCTAGGTCCCTGACATTATCTTCAGTCACCAAAAGAGAAACCAGTCAACAGTCGTACAGCTACCTGGGACTACAAAGAAACTCCAGGTCAGTTTCTTTTGCTTTGTTTTTTTTCTTTTAGAGGAGAGAGTAGTGTTGGGGATTGAACCCAAGGAATAATATGTACATTCTCTACTACTGAGTTATACTTTCAGAGCTAGCACCTACTTGATTTTAAAACTCAGTAAATTAATTTCTAGAGAGTTTGTGTGCCCTGCCTCGGGCTGTTGGGTCTTACAACAGGCCAGGAACAGCCCAAATGAATTTCACCATGTAATGTATTGCATTGTGAACTTGACATTCAGGAGAAATGCATTTCACAAATGAAACCAGATAGCTTATCACTGCTCCAGGATTAGCAGACACAAGTAGGGCTAAAGAAACAGGTTCTTGCTGAATACATCTCTACTCCTTAGAGAGTAACCCAATAAAGTCAGTAAGAAAGGAGTAAATTACATCTCTCTTTGTCTGGAAGCAACACCTATAAACTAACGACATTTCAACAATTGGCTCTCCCCATCAAGACAGTGAAACATTGGTAACATCTATTTTCCCATGGAAGTCGCCTCATAAGAATCTTACCAATTCACACGGGCTTCAGAGTTCTATATGCCTTTTCAATCTTAAACTAGTAAAGAGCTACAGAGCCCATTCGACACCTTTCCTTCTTTCCTGGCATTAGTGACAGTCCTTATTTGATTATGGCAAAGGAGCCAATGGAGGAAAAACTGAATCAAGGGTGTAGATAATCAGAGGCAGCAGACTCTACAAGGATCTTCCCATCTGTTCCCGTAGGATGGAGTCCCGGTGACAATTTATCCACTCCAGCCAGGGAAAGATAGATAAAGGGGTTGGAGACAGAGAATGCCAGCATCCAAGAAACGGAGAGAAAGTATGCAGAGTTCAGTGGGAATGAATACGTGCCCACTGAAAGTTAAAGGAGCCGGGAGCCTGGCTGATATTGGAAATGACAGCAGTCCATGGCCACCATGGGAATAGCAGCCAGAAATCTCAGTGCTGCTCCCATCAAGCATGTGTCTGCACTTAACATACTGACTCCATATATATTGATCGCTGGAATCAGACTGAAGTATACAGTTCAGCTCAGACATTACTTAAATAATTTTCAAAGTGGAAAGAAACGTTTTAGATATTGATTTATTGTGAGTCTGTATATGTGACTCTAATGTGTACCTTCATATCCTATACATTTACGCAGTTTGACATTCAGTACATTTTACCAGCATACATCAGTCGGAAAGCAGTGAAGACCACGACGAGCTAGGAACATAATGCTAACCCAGCACCTACCTTACTGGCAGTGTGGTGTAGTGGAAAGAGCACGGGACTGGAAGTCAAGAGACCTGAGAGCTAGTCCTGGCTCTTCCACGACTAGCTGTGTGACCTTGGGCAAGTCACTTAACCTCTTTGGACCTCAGTTTGCTCATCTGTAAAATGAAAGGGTTGGACTAGATCAGTGGTTTTCAAACTTTGACGCCTGACGTGCATACGGAATTCTGTAGGCAATGGAGAACTGTTTGCCCTGCCAATCAGGATTTAAAGGGCCAGCGAAACCCACTGAGTACTCTTACCTGTTTAAGGAAATAAGGCTCTGCCTAAGATTTCATTTTTAAAGAAAAAAATAATCTGCTGCTGAAAAGCAAGTTTGAAAACCACTGGACTAGATGACAGCTGAGGTCCCTTCTGGTTAGAGAACCCAATAATCCAATGCTTCTGTTATATTCTATTATTATTATTCTAATTAATTCTTAATGTTATTCTAATACTTTTGTTAGAATATTCTAATGTCAATGGCGTTACTAGAAAGATTAAAGCATCTCAGGGATGATGGCATTCTGACCAAGCTTGAAGTGTGAAACTCAGCATACTGTGTCAAATTTTCCACTCTTTGTTTTACAGAATATATTATTTATAGTTAATGTATGTGGGTGTGTTTGTTTGTGTGTAGAAATAATAAAAAACCCTAAATATCTTTAAGCAGCTCCATAGCATTTCTATACATCAAAGCACTTTTGACAAATTTGTGTCACACCAGTACGGCTTGTGGCTTTTGTTTCCCCTTATATCGATGATATTAACAGCAACATGAAACAGTGAAAGAATCCTGCCAGTTCTCAAGTTGACATGCTTACATGAGCCTCTGATGAGTGCTTTTACTTCAATGACCCAATCAGAAGAAACAAAGCCAATTCCTAATCCCAGAAGCACAGGTACAGCTGGGTGTCGAGTTTGTCCTTTCTCTTTAAGGTCCCTGCATTCTAGATGGAATCCCCTCACTCTGAGAACTGGTGAAGTTACAAAATATACCTCCTTGGGGTAGTTATCATTCACAACAGAGCCCTGACATGGAGTCGAGAAGCTTCGTAGGGTCGCCCTGCCTAGCAATAATCCTACCCTATTCATAGGACAGTTGTCCAGAGTAGTAACTAAAACAACTTAATTGCCGTTTATCTCTGTGTTTTGTAACTATAACTATAGTTTGCTTAGGTAAATTCCATATTTGCATTTTTATTTTTACCTTTTTCAAAGTGTATTAGGCAAAATTAAATACCTTTTCATTGTCCCAAACCAGTCTTCCCTTGAAATAACTCAAATCTACAAATGAATCACTGCAATATGCCTCAGGGCAATATGGAAGATGGTTTTTAATTTTTAAAGCCTACCTTGGGATACCATGTTCTTCACCCGGAAGCTATTATCTGAATGAAAGTTCATCATTCAACACTTAGTCAAAACCATGTGCAAGGTCTGAAGTAAGCCCAGCTAAAACTCAGCACCCTGCCTTGGCTTCCTTAATTTTCTAGCCATAGATGCCTGCTCAGAAATTGGAAACATCATTAAAACAAAACAAAACAAAAAAACAGCAGTAAGATGGAAGACAGGGAACAGGATGGGAGCCTACTATAGGGGTCCTCTGAAAGGCTCCATCCAACAGGGGATTGAAGCAGATGCTGAGACTCACAGCCAAACTTTGGACAGAGCACAAGGAGTCTTATGGAAGAAGAGGGAGAGAGAAGAATACAGAGGTGACAGGAGCTCTGCAAGGAGAGCAACAAGGCTAAAAAATATACAAGCCCAGAGGGTCCTGCAGAGACTGATGCACCCACCAAGCACCACGCATGGTGCTAGACCCACGAGGACCTAGACCCCCTGCTCAGATGTAGCCTACAGGACGCTCAGTCTTCATGTGGATTCCCAAGTAAGAGGAGCAGGGACTGCCTCTGGCATGAATTTGTTGCCTGCTTTTTGATCACTTCCCCCTGGCAATGTGGCCTCACCAGGCCACAGAGGAAGAGGATCCAGGCACAGTCCTGATGAGACTTGATAATCCAGGGACATATGGCAGGGGAGTAAACTCCCCCTTTCAGTGGACTAGGGGAAGGGGATAGGAAGAAAGAGTGGAGCAGGAGAAGTTGAGGGAGGAGAAATTATATCTACAAACAAGATATAAAGTGAATAAATTGTAAAAAATTAAAATAATAATAATAATAACAATAATACCCAGTAGGGAAACAACTTAAAAAGGCTAGATATGTTCTAAGACTAAGGCTATTTTTTTCTAGTTCCTCAGTCACAGATTATAAATCAATATTGGGAAAGTCTTCATGAGGGGCTGGAGAGATGGCTCAGTGATTAAGAGCATATTCTATTCTTTCAAAAGATGCCAGTTTGACTCCTGGCACCTATGTCAAGCAGCTCACAACTACCTGCAACCCCAGATCAGATCTCTGGTATGTGGCATGTGAGCAGACCCATATACAGATATGTATCTAAGAAGTATTAATAAAATAAATCTTTCTAAAAAGTCTACATGAAATATTCATCAAGCCATGATGGACACTGTGCACTGATAATCCCTGTGCAGCATACAACAGACTACATCCTTCAAGGAGATGGAAAACAAGCTGTCCTGAAGAAGAGGTGACAAAAAAAGGCAAGACCAGTCTCCTGAATGATACAGAGGGTCTGAGCACCTCCTTTTCTCTAGATGTATATTTTTTTATTGGGAATCCCCTATAAAACTTGTCTGGGGCTAGGCAATGATCTACTGCCTAAGAAACGCTGCAATGGGGAAGAGCTGCCCTGTTGTAGTGCGTGCCTGACAGTTCAAAGCCAGTTCAGACTACAGAGTAAGATCCCATCTCAAAAAAGGAAAAGAAAAGAAAAACAGCAGCTAAATTTCTAATCTTAGCTCCATACAAAACTTCATAAAATGCCTTAGATGCTTACTTATGTGAGCTCAGCAGAAATT